AAGTCTTAAAGTTGCCAAGGTTGGACACCCCTGGCTTAAACCATCGCCTCCAACTTGTTTTAGATGATTTGATAAAAGAAATAAAGCAAGTAAATCATTTAAAAATATTTATTGATAAAATATATACTATTTTTCATCAATCCAATAAGAGCCAATTTGAACTTACCAAAATGGAATTGAAATTATAAAGATTGGTAGAGTTTTGGGACCAAGATGAGCTGCCTATAAGTTAAGATCAATGCTAGCTGTGTGGCATGCTTATCTAGTGCTACACCACTATTTTAATTCAAATCAAAGGTCTTGTCAAAGGCCTGTCTTGAAAATATATATTTTATGACTGATTTGGCATTGATGATTGATATTCTAAACAAAAGTTCCCTTCTTTCAAATGGACCTGCAAGCAAGAAATGTAGACATCATAAAGGCTGAAAAACTTGTGATAAGATCAATTAAAGCATTTGAAATGCTTAGAAAAGGGTGTACACAAAAAAAGTTGATGAATTTATTACTTCAGAAACCTTCAAAAATATAAAATTTGTAGAAAATCACTGATTTGTTGGGCTTCCTTGGGAAAGACTTTTAGAAAGCATCGTAATAAATTTGAATGAAAGACTAATGGATTGTGAACATTTAAAAAGGTAGCCAATTTCAAGACATGAATAAATTACAATTTCTCATTTTTTTCCAGATTACTGGAATATTGAAGAAGTAGTAGTTCCATGGAAAGCAGTTGAAGAACAATTGCTTGTATTTAGTGATATTTTAATTACCAAATTAATATTAACGATTATCGAGATTTTGTAGAATATTTTTTTTAATTTACAGAAATATCCAATTCCTGACAGTATTCAAAAAGCTAAAAACATTGTCAGAACAATTGCTGCAAGTTCATGGATTTTTCACAAATGAACATCATATGTTCAGAGAAGTCACCTGTTTTCAATATAGCAAACCTAATGACTATTAGTCTAACTGGCCTACTGTCAGATTTGGAAGCCATATTGAGATTCGATGTTCCCACGCTGCCACAAGCCTGAGAAAGTGGGTGGGGGGGAGAGATTCAATTGAGTATCTCTAAGTAGACAAAGTAAAATTCTTTTGTTAGTTCAAGGTCATGGAGTATGGCGCAGAATGAAATAAGAATCTTACTTTAGAACGGATTGTGATTGGGGCCATATGATGTGATGATGGCCAAGTGGGGATGGATTTGTAGTTTTGAATATTGCAAGAAAGCCCAAAAACTTTCAGATTTGGGATTCCACAGATGTGCCGGTTTCTATCCAAATAAAGGTATCTTTGAGATATGTCTGTCTCAGAGTTATTGGTTGGAATGGAGGTTTGCTGGAACGCTGACACCTACTTTGAAGCATAATCCCTTGCGGGGTGGAGTCTTGGGCAACTGAATGCAGCTGAGTGTTTACTAGCCAGATTCCCTTCCTGTCGCCAATGAGGAGATTGTTTCAGCAGATGTATTCTCATTGTGCCCAGAGAGAAATATCTGCTTCTACTTAGGATTGAACTTACAGCCTCCTGATTGTAGAGCTCCACTTCTAGGCCACTGTACCATTCTATTAAATACTCTGATATCACTCAAATAAATTGGGCACCATCTGTCAGGAATATTATTGGCAGTTGTCCAATTGAACTTCTTTTCCCACTTACTTAGCCCAAAATAGCAAAAAGGAAGGATATAATCTTGAAATTTCCACGGTGTCTAATTCAGAATCAGGATGTCAGGTTACCACATGTGAGTCAGTAAACAAAACTGGATATGAGCAAAAATAGTTTATTCAAGCAATTAGATTGGAAGGGGGGAAAAACTGAACTTCTATGGTTCTTAAACTCTGAAAAAAGCATTTATTCAAACTTCAGGTAGTAAAGATCAACATTTCACACCAATTGCATCTCCATCCAAAAATGGACCTTTACTGGCGACTTTTAAGCCTGGATGTTGGCCAATGTTATGTCACCATCCACTTCGAGAAGATTTATCTGAAGCAGGTTATGTATGCGGTGGTTGTATTCAAACTGATGAAGTCCATTCACAGCTACCTTGAAGCAGTGTGCTTCACATTGAATCCAGATCTATAAAAAGAAAATGCACATTTGAGACCTGATAATATAACTCAGAACTTTAAATTTTTATTTTGTCTATTAACATCACAAATTACCCATTTCCCAAACAACAAAACATCAAAGGTGTTTCCCAGAAGCACCACCTGCAAATTCTGATGATGTCCTCAAAGTCACTAAATGATGAGTATCCAGAATAACTAAAAAGTAACTTTGATACAGATTTTAATTCAGTACTGAGATTTTAACCTAATACATGGATTTGGTACTGCACCCAAATTTGGATTTATCTTAGAACCATATTTCAGTTTTACAAATTTAAATCAGAATAAATGCTTAATAATGATGAAATGTATACATTGTATTATACTATATTATTTATACATTATATTATTAGTAACATAGTAGAGTAGAACATCTGGTCATGACTATAATTAGTCCCATAACTTTGGCAATTTCTTCATCTTCTAATGTTTCATCTTCAGGAATGTCTGAGTCAGGGGTCATGTCTGATCACCACCCGAGTATGTGTTCGTGACCAGATTAAAACATTTTGTGAATTTTTTGGTCGGAACCCGATTTGATCGTGGTCAAAAGCGTTCGTGACCAGAGGTTCTACTGTATAATGTATTATTTTATTTGGTGATTTATATTGTGCTAACCATGGTTCTGATATTTATTACTAGTTCAGGTTTAACAGTGATTTTAGTTGGTGACTGAATTGTGAAACTGTGATTTGCTTTATGGCCACTGTAAAAATAGTTGTAAAATCAGGTCTGGTAACAGGATGAGTTGACTTACAACTGCACCAATTTATGACCAAAATTTCTGATTCTAAGCCGTGCAGCTTTTAAAGGAGTAAAGCAAATGAAGGATCCTGAAGTTCCTGCATTAGGCTAGCCTGATAAATGCAAATTTAAGTCAGTTTACACAGTTATCTGGCCCAGGTGGAGCAACCAGACTGCTCTGACTTACGGTAAAGGGTTGGCCACGCAACAGAGGCATCCCACAGGGCAGGTGTCGTTCCTCTGAGCCCCAGCACATGTTGAGGTTAGAGTTTCGAACAATTGTGTTCTCATCAAACCGTGGGTTGAGATGGAAAGCAGTATTGTTCCCTGCTTTCAGATTGATGTGGAACCTATATAAAAAGACCGAAATGTTGTGTTGCAGACTAAACAGGAGACACGCACCCCTCCGCATCCAGAAAGGACACAATGAACATTCCAACTTCTGAAGATATTATATTGCTGATTCAAAAGCCATTATTCTTCTCAAAGGAAATTCCCGTGTGAACCCGCAGTGAATCTTTTTTGCCAGATAGATTCTCTTTTTTTAGGACTTCATCAAGAGAGCTCCACTTCTGGAAAAAAGGGGTCACCCGATAGATGATTAGATAGATGATACAGTAGATAGGATAGATAGGATGGATAAATAGGATAGGAGAGAGAGGGGGGGGGGGGGGGGGGGGGGGGGGGGAGAGAGAGAGAGAGGGAGAGAGAGAGAGAGAATAGATAGATGAGAGAGAGAGAGAGGGAGAGAGAGAGAGAGGGAGAGAGAGAGAGAGAGAGACGGATGATAGAGATGATAGATGTGAGAGATGATAGATGATTGATATAGAGAGATGATAGATTAGAGATAGATACAGTACATAGATTGATGATCTAGAGATAACCACATCATACTATCATGCATGGAGTGTGACTAGTAATGATTCTTTATTTTTATTTGCACTTTAAGAAAATAAAAGTACAGCGAAGTTCATTTTATCACATTCAGTACTTTTAGAATGGGTGTGTGCATGCATGTATAGGTTCAGTTGTACATTCATTTAGAGTCCAATTAATTAGAGGTAGATTGAGGTCACCAAGAAAGATAATAGGGTGTGAGCAGGAGGCTGCCCACGTTAGTAGTGCAGTTAGCTTGTTTGCCCAAGTGTATGTCCTTTCCACTCATTTTATTTCATAGGGCAAAGTAACAGATCTAAACAATGAGGATAAGTGACACAGGTGTGTTAATTCTGTCACCCAACTGGCTGGGCTTCTGGTTGGCCAACTTTGTTCCTGAAAGGAATATTTAAGAAGTATTGCCAGCTCACTCTCAGCACGCTGATGTTCATTTGCAGTATCCCTTTTATCATCTGTTGATGGAACTTCGCTTCATTATTTTTTCTTTTAAACACGTTGATTTACTTTTTATGGCTAAAGATAAAATACAAAACACAGAAAAGGGTGGAGCCTCTCTTTACATTCTGATAAATCTTATAAGCCGCCTAAAGCTATAGTGGTGAGGTGGGTGGGCATATACATTTAATAATAAATATAATAAATGCAATAATAAATTACAGCCATGGCAGCATTTTGGATTGAAAGAGAAAAGGTGCTTCACAGGTTCCTGTGATGACCCAGAGTGTAACACAAACGTAACAAAATCCAAAATGTAAATAAATGTCCTTTAATGCCTCCAACTTGGCCCCACTGTTCAATAATTCTCTGTTGGAGATAAAACTTATTCAAAAATAGTTTTCAAAAGAAAGCAATGCAGTCTGAATTTAAGAGCTGAAATAAAAAAGCAAACAAGCTACAATGATGAAATTTCCACAACGGACCAGGATAAGTAATTACCAAATTCAAGGAGATAACAAGGCACAGTCTGTTGGAAGGATGTCAACCAAGATAACTTCAGCCCAAAATAAAACACGCTTTGCTTCTGGCAACGCTGTGTTTTAACCGTCTCTCTTATATACTATTCTCCCCAGCTGCAACCAATGAGGGGGATCATGGCCGCTTCCTCTCTCGTAAGCCAAGTTGTTTCCTTCTCCGTTCCTCCTTGCGTGTCCCAGGATGAAGAGGGGATGGGCCTGGTTCTTCCTCTGACTGCCCAGCCAGCCTCTGCCCTTCCCCAGCCTCCTCCACAACCTCCGGAGCTACACCTCCACTCCCTGTCGGCTGTTCCTCCTCTCCCTTAGAGTCTGACTCTAACAAGGACATGACAGTTCCCTCTGTAACTTCTGGAAAATGCAGCATCTTTTCTAGAAGTTAGCTTGATCCAAGGGAAAACAAATGCAGGTTATTTTAGGAATTACTGACAAGTGCAACAGGAGCGCCCTCGTGTGCTACAAAACACCCTTTTCCCCTTTGAATTCAAAATGCTGCACAAATATATTATCCTCAGTCACTGTACCTACATCACAATCTATTTGTTAGTCTTGAAGATGCCTCAAGAGTTTTTGTTATGTGGATGTATTTTATAGACATTTCAGGCTTATACAGGCAGTCCACAACTTATGACCACAATTGAGTCCAACATTTTTGTTGTTAAGTGAGAAATTTGTTAAGCAAGCTTTGCCCCTTTTTATGACCTTTCTTGCCACAATTATTAAGTGAATCACTGCAGTGGTTAAGTTAGTAACACGTTTAGTGAATCTGGCTTCCTCACTGACTTTGCCTGTTGGAAGGTCGCAAAAGTGAATTGCATTGCAACCATCATAAATATGAACCAGTTACCAAGCGCCTGAATTCTGATCACATGACCATGGGGATGCTGCAATGGTTGTAAGTCACTTTTTTCAGTACCATTATAACTTTGAATGGTCAATAAATGAACTGTTGTAAGTCGAGGACTACCTGTACAAATATTCTGATAGATGATACCACTTGCATTACACAGTCATCTCAAAGGTGCTTTTTCAAAAGGCGACTTGTCCATTTTTAACTGTGCAGCTCCATTTGAAAGGAATTCAGAAGAAATGAATCCGGAATAAAATTGTGCGGAAGGAAGTTTTTACCAACAATATTTCTTAGTCCTTACCTCTGAGCAGAAGGCGACACAGAGCCTGAAACTATTATTGATTTGGATGGAAAAAGGCCCCCATAGATGGTAGCTCGGTAAGGGAGAGGCTGTGGAGAGAACACACACACAAACAATATTAGATTTAATCTGCCTTTTTCCCTCCGCCATTTTGCACCTTCAAGTAATCAATCAGAGATAGCAATAGCACTTAGACTTATATAGCGCTTCACCATGCTTTGCAGCCCTCTCTAAGTGGATTACACAGCCTATTGCCCCCAACAATCTGGGTCCTCATTTTACCGACCTCGGAAGGATGGATGGCTGAGTCAACCTTGAGCCTGGTGAGAATCAAACTGCCAAAGTGCAGGCAGCCAGTAGTCAGCAGAAGTAGCCTGCAGTACTGCATTCCAACCACTGCGCCACCACGGCTCATCAACAAAGGCCGATGGTATACAGGGGTTGAGGGCAGTGAGTCTGAAAAAATCAAAATGTCTGACGCCACCACATAATCATAACCTCCTCCTGGGGACATTTTTGATTATCCACCTAAGCGTAGCCTTTTCCCCTGAGAAAGCACCAATGGTTCTTCCTGGTCATACTTGCCAGTGTCCACTGATGGCTTTAGCCTTTGACATCTTTTAGTTTTTTTCCAGAGCACCAAGGCCATACCTTGATTCACTGCTGACTTCTTGGGGTTTTTTTTTTTCAGAAGGTTTTCTGGAGCAAGGCATTCATATTTCCCAAGGAGCCTAGTTAAATCTGGCGCATTGTGGGAAATTCCAATGATGCTCAAGCCCAGCCCACAGCACTGATTCTTTCCTATTGCAGCTCTTAATAGAAAAGATACATCAGATTACCAAGGTTGGGTTCATTCTGGTTCATTTTATTAGATATTTTAGATTTATGCCCTCCTTTCCTTCTGGAGTCTCAAGGGACATATATAACCCTCCCTCCCTCAATATCATTGCATAACAATGACACAATGAGGCTGGTTGAGCTGTGAGAGAACAGCACGCCCAAAGCCCTCCATGGCAGATGAGGGGCTTGAAGCTGAGTTCAACACCTAATTGCCACCCACATTCGCTCTCACCCATGCTTAATCTTAAGACATGTTAACACCTCCCAGTTGCTGAGTTCCCATACCAGGCACAGCCTACACTAATCAACAACATTATGGCTGAAGGTGATTGTCAGAACTGCCATCATTTGCCTGAATTTCACCTTTGCTCTCAGTCTGCCATGAACTGAGGGAGGGGGGAGCCAAAGGAGGGAAGGTTGAATGCTTGGGGGAAAAGTGAAACTAATGAAGCCAACTACTCATCCTACCATCCAGAGACATCAGCTCAAGGTCAAAACTCTGGGAATGGAATGCAATGACTCACCAACCTGTCCATCGTTGAAGCGACTGTTCCAAAACTACGGTATTTATTCAAATATGGGCAATAAGGGACCAGGGGAGGAGAGGAATTGGATAGGGAAAGTTAAACAGGGAATTTTGGCATGCAAACTTTAGTTCTGGTTTTTGCTATACTGTAATCCACTTGGTATTAGTAAAAAATATACCTTTCACTACAAATGGAGTCAAGGGTCTTTCTTTTTTTTTTTTTTTCAAAATATTTTACTGAAAAATCAACATTGGAAAGAAAAAAACATGTAGAATTCCCCCCAGAAGGGGTTTTTATTTGATACAGTTGCTACATCAAGCCACCAAGGACAAGATCAGTCCAGAATAGTAAAGCTCAGGGATGCCATCTTCAAAGGATCACTGCTCCCAGGCTTGAAAATGGAATCTCCTGAAGATAGGTCTTCTAGCAGCAGCAAAGAGAAAGCATTATCTGCAAGTCGGCTTCCCAAGGCTCCACCTTTCCATTGCTGTTTTGCAGCTTCAGTAGCACTGTGAATGATGTCAAGGGTCTTTCTTGACTAAAGGACCAAGTCAGAGCAGGTCTGACAGTGATGGCCTGATTCACATAATGTGTAAATGACTGGGTGACTGGGTTCCCATGCTGAGCCAAAATTCCTACCCATGCTCCATTTTAAAGGATTCCTACCTGAGTAGTATCAAATCCCTAAATCTGTGGGACTTTGACTCTCATAGTTCCGTGTTAGCCTAGAGTTGAAATCCTTCATAATCGATGGACCAGAAAAAAATGAAAAGTGCAAATATTGCTAATATGATAAAGACTTACATACATCTGTGGCGGAAAGCATTGTCCAATGGGCTATGAAGAAAAAAGAATAGCAATCAGGATTTTACATGAAAAGGTTTTAGATTTTTTTAAAAAATCCAAACATACACATAAGCCAAACATTTGTCAAAAAGCTTGGGAATCCAACAATTCCTTAAAGTAGGACTGACAGTAATTCCTACCCAGTAAGATACATTTTTAATCCTGGTTTCTCCTCTTCCTTCAAGAGTTAACTGCTTTTTTATGCCAGCTACAAAATGTCTGCCATTTTAGTTACCCATAATGCCCTTTGACAACCATACCTAGGAAATTTCATTAGCAGCTCACAATGGGTACTCCAGTTTCCCCAAAGACCCAGAGTATGGCAACATCACAGCCAGGATGCAAGGACCAGGTACAGCATGAGTAAAAATTTCCCCCAAAAGAGCTCTCAACAGCTGTTGCCCCCGTATTTCTCAACCTTGGCAACTTTTAAGATGTGTGCATTTTAATTCCCAAATTTAACCAGCAAAGATGAAGTTGAGTCCACACATCTTAAAGTAACCAAGGTTGAGAAACAGCAGACAGTGGACACTGATGTTAGTCTTGGTCTCAGATTCTTGGCAAGCATTTCCCAGCACCCTATTCTGCGTTGTTTTGCATATTAATGTCACTGTTCATTTTAGTCAAATGGCTTTTGCAGGTATCACACCAGTTGAAAAACCTGACGTACCTGTTTTAGCAGAGGCAAATTAAGAGAAATTTGGAGATACCTGTTGCAATCTACAAAGACACCGTATGCATCATGATGTCATTGCATATCTTCCCTTTTGTGTCAATTGTGCAGTGACACCAAACCATAGACTGCAATCTTTCAACTCCCAGCTCTCTGAAGCAGAACCCAACTGTCATCTATCCCTGCCAATGTTTATGAATGAAATATTCCCGTTCCTTTCTCTCTGTTTCCCTAAAGATTGCTCAGAGTAGCAGAGTCCTAAACAGTACGGATTGTTCTGCTTGCAGAAGAGTTTATATTTCTGTACGCTGTTATTGTTCTCTAAACATGTATTCAGTTCCATCTAGTGGCCAGAGATAAAATCTTTCATCGTTTAGAAAGTTGGTTTTAGTAATGTTTTGATCCTACAGACAGAGGTGGGATTCTGCCGGTTCAGACAGGTTCAAGCGAACCGGTTGTTAAGATTTTGCGCAGTTGGGAGAACCAGCTGATCGCACCACTGGCTGGCCCTGTCCACCCCACTAGTCGGCCCCTGTATTCCTCATTCCAGGGCCGACTAGGTACTTCCAGGCAGTTCTTGCTCTGCCTTTCGGGGTCAGCCATCAAAGAGAAGGTGAGAAACACGATGGAAAAGATGCGATGGAGGGGAAATCAGATTGGCAAAAAACAAAAATGCTTGGGAGAAGCTAGGGCCTGGGCAGTGGTGGGTGGGGCAAGCTACGCAGCACTGCAACAGCAAAACCGGCAACAACCGGAGCGGGCTTCTCTTCTCCATGCTCCTCGCCCTACTTGGGGAAAGTGAGGCGTCTGGCAGCCAGGGCAAGCTCTGGGGCACTGCTGCCTCAGCCCTGCCCACAGCCCCGCCCTCACCACCTCCTGTGGGGGTGGGCCTGAGGCAGCGGAGTGGTTCTTTTCAGGCTCCAAGGCTGCCCTACGGATCTAAGGCTCACCGTGTTCTAGGCCAGATCAGTACTATACCCATCACCAGCGCCTCCGTGGCCTGCTCGCTGGCCCAGCCTTGCAGCCTGTGTGGCTTCCCTTTCACTGGGACCGCCCTCACCCCACCCCATATGGGAAAGCCACATCCACAGTAAGTACAGCCACTGGCAGCGCTGCCAAATTCTCCAGAACGAGATGGGAATGAGAAGGAGGGAGGCAGAGAAGGAAGGGAGGAAGATGAGATGGGAAGAAAAAGGAGAGAAGGAGGAAGGAGAGGGGAAAGAGTGGGGGGAGGAAGGAAGGAAGCAGATGGGAATAAGGAGAGAAAGAGAAAGGGGAGGGGAGGGAGGGAGGCAATGGGAATGAGAAGGGGAAGGGGAGGGGAAGGGGGGAGGAAAGGAGGAGATGGGAATAAAAAGGAGAGGAGGAGAAAGGGGAGGAAGGAAGGAGTGAAGGAGATGGGAATGAGAGGGAGGGAGGGAAGCTGGCATGGCCCCGGGGCTCTGCCCCCACAAGGTCAACCACAACCCTGATGCAGACCTCAATGAAATTGAGTTTGACACCCCTTACCTACAACGATCTCAGAACTAGTTCAGGCCAAATACTTTTAAATTAACCAGATTATTTTTATTTTTTTATTTATTTGCTTGTTAGATTTATATACCATGTTTTGTTTAGGAGCGTCTCTTCCCCCAAAGTCTCTACTACAACAACCGTGTAGGGAAAGTTTGTCTGACTAACAATAGATGGCCCTATGTCATCCAGTTTGGAAACTGGGAGTTCTTTAGTCATACATCTTAATCACTGGTTAATAGCATTCCAACTGGAATATTTCTCTAATTCCTTCTCCATGGTCTAAGAACAATTACAAAAGGAGGGGGAAAAAGGAGACATTTCCACAGCTTTTTTTTTTTTTTAAGTAAAGGACTGTATGTCATACCTGTAAGCATGTTGGGAAAATTGGGTTGTAAGAAACTGAACAGATCTGGGGGGAAAAACAGAAATCAAAGGAAATTGCATGAGCAAGTATCAGAATGAAGATCTACTTCTCGGTCAATGTTTCTCAACCTCAACAATTTTAAGATGTTTGGCTTTCAACCCCCAGGATTCCTCAGCCACTGAAAAACACATTTTAGATAGTACAGGTAGTGTTGCTTAATGAGCAGTAATTTATCGACTGTCCAAAGTTATGGAGGGATTGTTGGCATTTTTTATAGTAAAGGACTCTATCTCAAACCTGTGAGGTATGAGATACAGTCATACCCACCTTCCTGAAGGTACTTATAACCTGTTTTCTGACAGAGGAATGCACACACCTC